GCTGCCCCCTCCTGGCAATCAAAAATATGGAATGAATTCCGGGAAAAAAAGATAATTTTAAGGGGTGCCATAATCTGGGTGGGGGGCCGCTGCCTCTTGACATATACGTAGTAGATTAAGTCGGGACGTGGGTCCAATTTGCGGAACACGGGGGCCCCCCCCCCCCCCCCGTGTTCCGCAAATTGGACCCACGTCCCGACTTAATCTACTACGTAGATGTCAAGAGGCAGCGGCCCCCCACCCAGATTATGGCACCCCTTAAAATTATCTTTTTTTCCCGGAATTCATTCCATATTTTTGATTGCCAGGAGGGGGCAGCCCCTGGAGGTTGGGCATTGTGGATGCCAGGGGAGGGAACATCCCCCCCGGGGGGGGGGTCGGGCTTCGTCGATCCATGCACGCTGGGCGTGTCGATTTCCTTTGACATTTTTGCAGTGGTGAATGCATAGCTGAAGTGCGCTCCAGCTAGAATTGTATTTAACAAATGGGTGGTTTTTCTACGAGGATTAAAAATAAACAATTGGCACGGAATATAACAAAAGAATATGAACTATTCAAAACGATAATCCGGATATCGGAACTTGGCTGATTTGAAAACGCCTTCAAATGCGGCGTGATACCTCACGCATTCCGGAGAGTTCAAATAGTTGTATCATTGCGCCGTAAGAATGTGACGGGAGATTTAAAGGGATATAGCCTTCATGCACGCTGGCCTTTTCGATTTCCGTTAACATTTTTGCAGTCATGAATGCGCTTAAGTGCGCTTCAGCTAGAATTGTATTAAGCAAATGGGTGGTTTTTTAGGAGGATTATAATTAAACAAATGGTTAGTAATGGAAACAAAATAATATGAACTTTGCAAAACGATTATTCCGATAACGGAACTTGGCTGTTTTGAAAACGCCTTCAAATGCGGTGTGATACCTCACGCATTCCGGAGAGCTCAAATAGTTGTATCATTGCGCCGTATGAATGTGACGGAAGATTTAAATGGAAATAGCCTTTACGGTCGATGTCAGAGGGGTAGCACCTGGGAGTTGGGCTTCTTGGAAGCCAGGAGGGCAGCCCCAGGGGGTTGGGTTTCTTACATGCCAGGGGGCAGCCTGAAAGCTTGCAATGATGCGGGTAAAAATCTATTGTTTGAATGAAAACCCTCCCATTTTAAGTAATCCGTGTCTCTAAATTAGCTGGACAATAAGTAAAATTTGCAGCGTGCGTCTATTCTGCCGTGCTAAGGAAGAACGCCAAATGAACATTCGAGAGTTGGCGAATTTCTTTCGACAAAATGTTCATTTTTGAGAAGAGTTATGAATATTTTTCCTTGAAATTTCCAGAAGTTTTAGATCAAATGAGAATAAAAATTACTCGAGAAATTGGAAGAAAAATATTCTCAAATTTTCTTGAAAATTTGTGTTTTGTCAAAGGAAATTTGGCAACGCCTGAGGGTTCATACGGCGTTTTTCCGTAGCACGGCAGTATTAGCCTGTCTTCGCATGCCGCACCTTATATTATCAGACCTTATTATTAGAGACCTGCGTGGTCTCGTGTTCTTAATGTCTCGTGGACCCATTTTTAAAGGTAGGAAATTGTTGTATTCGGATTTTTTTTTTTTTTTTAACAAAGTGTTGTTGTCCCGGGATTAGAATAGGCAGGCAAGAATACTTGAGGGGAAAAAATGAGTCATGGAAGACCGAAAAAAGGCGGAGAGTCCGAGCCGAAGGACCCGAAAGCCAGGCAAATTGCGTCCACGGTAACACCAGCATGCAGAGGCATAATAAATTATCCCCTAAAAAATGCCTCTTGTTTAATCCCAGGCCTTTACTCTTCTACTTGTTTTTCATTTTCGTTTGCAATTGGTTTGGAGTAAAACTGATCGATAGGGTGTAAATGTAGAGCTGAGGTTTCATTCGAATCCGGTGGGGAAAATCCCACACGGAATGTACGCAACATTGAAGTTTACTACAAATTGGTTTATTTCATTCAACAGTTTTTAAGTCTGAAGTTGAGTCAAAACAGACATCTAAAAATGCGTGTACATAGGTAATATTTAAAACAGACGATGTAACAAACGATTTAATATAAATTAAGCACAAGATAATTGAGTTTGCTCACAAGTATTTTTTTTTATATTTTTTTTCATATTTTATTTTTTTACAAAAACAGAGTTACCATAATAAACAGGTTGGCTGCTGGGGAAAGGCGACGTGTCTTTCCCTTCTATTCTAATAATATGTAAAATGGCAGTTTTTTGTTTTAAACTTAAGGCCCACATTCCCACCAAAAAGCTCGCTAAAGTAAGCCTTTAAAATATTTTACGGTCCAATGGCGATTTGTCTTGGCGTGATTCAGAATTGGATGTAGGTATACCTATCGATGGCTAAAGTTGAAAGATGCGTCGGTATCTCATTTTATGTTTTATTTTTTTGAAAAGACTCGAAATCCAAAATATCCATTGAATTGTGTGGATAAACCTTTGAGTATATTTCGACTTTAGCCATAATAAGTGAGTTGCCCTATCGCCAATCATTAGAGTCCAATCAGTGATTTATTTTTTTGCCGACGGAAAAGCTGCTATCGTGTTCTTTCGTATAAATGAACATGAAATTAAGTTGCTTTCAATCATTGACAAAATTTACTAAAATTTCCCGAGAATATTTGCGAGGATTTTCTCCTGTGGGAGTTAAATGCTTGCAAAAATTTTCTGATGTTACAATGCAGGTAACTGCTATTGTTCCGAAAAAATTGTCTCTGCATGGACAAGTGATCACGGTTTGTCAATTTGTTTTTACAAGTATAGGATCAACTGATGAATGAACAGTGCTTGTGAAACCAAATTCTTATTCTAAAGTTATAAAAATTCAGAGCTCTAGAGAAGAAAGTAAGGGAGTTTTCGTTGTGTGCGTTTGAAATAGGAACGGAAAAAAATCAAATACGTACCTAAGTAGTTAAAACCCCGAATTCGATTATAACAGCTTAGCGTTTCAAGCTATCACAGGATGCAAATATCTTCAGCCTTGCGTCCTTTTCTTTTCCGCCAAGCTGATCTATTATTACGTAGGAGTGTATTTTTGCCCCTTTCAATTAAAATCATTTTACATAAGAAATGTTGTATCTAAAATGTTGTTGTTGTTGTTGTTGTTAGGTACCTTTTAAAAATGTACCTAAACATTGAAAATACTAAATTGTGAAACGGAATCCTCCGGGAAGGTGGAGGGACTGAGTAGGACATTCACCCAACCAACCTTTAATCGTTATATAATATTTGAAATCGATTGAACTTAGACAGAAAGAAATGTCGGGTTATTTATAATTTTTTACAATTACATCTGACGCAATAAACCAACGTCATCAGACTGCGCTTTGGTCACACTAGCGACTACTCGTCAACATATAGACGTACTTATGCAAAGAGGAACTATGTTGCTTGCAAACCCTATGCACAAAATTCCTTTTGGCATAACTAAGTCTACATCTAAGGTCAAGCAGCTTCCTTACAGGTACACTGATTTAGTGGATACTTCATGGTAATTGCCAGTGGCGATTCTTGAAAGTTGGCATCGCTGTTTTTTCTCCATTGGAATCCACTTAAAATATCGACTCAGATGAGGCAAGCTGCCTCACCAGGAGTCTTACAGACATTTAAATGGAGGAAAAAAAGTGTTGCCAACTTTCAAGAATCGCCACTGGTCATTGCGACACTCGACAAATCGATTTTCGATTGCTCCAATGTAGATCATTAAACGTAACCTCGATTCCGAATTCTGTGAGGAGTTCATTACGATTATGCCATTAATAGATCATAAATCAATTAATGACTCATCAATCATGAGGAATTTCGATTGCAAGAAACAGTTGAACGCACTCCACCGCCCTAGCGTTAATACTGCGATGTTAAGGGCCGTATGAATGGTCGTCCCTTGAATAGCTCCATCCCCAGGGAGGCCTCACATATTAATTCTACATCGTGATTAAGGGAAATTAATGAGATCTTTTATATTAGAATCACAAGAATGATAATTTTCACGAAGCTTGAGTAAAAGCCATCTGTAGATCCTGGGAGTAGATCCTTGCAAGCGCTAGGAATGATTAAAAAAATTTAATTTTGACCCTAATTATAATTTTTGGAACTTCTTGTCTTTGTTTTTCCCGCGAAATGGTGTGGACCCAGCACCATTTCTCCACCTTGTCGCAAGGGATAAGGATACTTTGTCTCTGCGAGGTTCAAACTGAAAGGTGTATACTGCTGTGCCAAGGAGAAACGCCGTATGAACATTCAAGAGTTGCCAAATTTCCTCTTAGAAAATAGTTACTTGTGAAAGAAGTTATGAATATTGCTCCTCGAAATTTTCAGGAACTTTAGGTGAATTTGAGATCAAAATTATCGGGAAAATTGGGGGAAAAATCTTTAACAATTTTCCCAAAAATTGGTGATTTACCAAAGGAAATTTGGCAACTCTTGAAGGTTCATACGGCGTTTTTCCATAGCACGGCAGCAAATCGTTTCGCAGGGTGATGACAGCACCGGCAAACGCCCACAGCGTTTTTCTCGAATCTACCGTTTAGCTTCCTGAAACTTTGAATTTTTATCAAAAGGTTCAATTTCTGAAATTTTTGATGCTCCTGCTTTAAGTCTAATGAGGTAGAACTATCTCCTCTAATTTGTGGCATAGTTACCTCTCTTTTTCTCCACTACCTTAGGGCATATTTTGCCTCACTCCATTACATACATTGACGAGTAAATTGGAATTGTATGACCAAGGCTATCTATACGGTTGATATACCGTAGCTACGGTATTTTTTACTTCTTTCTTCCGAGATAAAGTCAGAGGATTTGTTTATTTAGCTGGAAGTTTATTAATCGTAGACTCTTACCTTTGTTATTTATAATTTTGCAATTCTGTCAGTGTAATAAGATTCCAAGGGGAGATGCATGGAGATTTTGGATATCGATTTTAATGATATCATACACCATCCGCCAATATTATCATACAATATATTGATATTAGCTTCTTTTTATCTTTTGTGGCTGAATAGGATTAAGGCATTTTGAATTTATCCGTTTCCAGTGCAAATCATGCATTCTTCGGAGAGTCTTCTCTGAATGTAATTTTCTGGGCTTTGAAATATCTTTGGCTAAATATTACGGAACAAGGAAGTAAGCATACAAAAATTTTCACGGAGGACCTTCGTAAAAAGTTATCATAAAATTGAAGCATCAACTAATGAAAGTAACAATATTTTTACACAGGGACTCGGAATTTATGGGGGAGCTCATAAAAATTGTAAGGATGGGACACGAGGGTGAGGGGCGAGGAAAAAAATTCATCCTATGTTACCACTCTTACAACGAACGCAATGAAAAATGACTACATATATTAAATTACAATAATTTGTTATAAAACTTATAGCCGATATAAAAATGTAGGTGATACATTTTCAAAAAATTCAAGTCGAATTTCGATCGAGTCCTTGAAGTTTTGCAGTCTCTTTCTTCATTTCAGTTTCAATGGGCAGTCTGAGCGGGACGAGCTTCAGAAATTCAGGTCAATCCTGAAAAATTGAAAGATAGTAATCAACTTTATATAGAACCAGTGAATAAATTCAAGACAGAATAATATTCAGAGCAGCGGAAATTCTGCAAGTTGACAATATTGGTTTTCCTTTACTTTAATCCATTAAAAATATCTATTTTAGGTGAGGCAAGCTGCTTCACCAAGAGTCAATTATTTTACATATTTAAATGGAGCAGTGGCGAGGCGTCAAAGATCGATTATCGATATTTCCCCATTTGAAGCTATGGTGAAGAATCAATCATTAAGGTGTTCCTTGCGAACACCCTTTCTATCGATCCTTCACCATGAGCAGATCAATCGATAGATCGCAAATCACGCCACGCTTCTGCAATCAACCTGCTGATTATGCTCCAGAAAAACATATTCGTGGTGACTTTAACGCATGGGTAAAAAAAAAAAAAAAATTAAAAAGGCCGGGCTGTAAGCAAAGTATGCATGAATGTATGTTACGATCGGATGAGCAGTGGGTGTTCAAGCTATTTCAGGCATAGACCATGCAAGGGTTGGGTTAGGAACAAATTTTGCGTTTTACTTTATCTTAGAGTAAATTATTGACTGTGTGACGCTTCGGGCTCTTTAAACTCGATAATCGCTTAATTTTTTCATTATCATTTCTCCCTACCTTCCATTTCTATCGTACGTTCAACTGGCCAACAAATATGACGAGAGTGAGGGGGGGGGAGAAAGTTCCCCATGTTTTCTTCTTGCATATGGAGCAAAGCTTGGGAGCTTTCGATCAACCCGATCCTGCTGCGTCATCCGATCGTGGATTTTTAAAAAAAGGAAATCTTATTCATTCCTCCTGAATGTCTGATATTTCTGCCGAACTACCAAGGCTCAACATACTGACGATGTGAGTTTTTCTTGAATATCTCGCAAATTCAGTTTCTACACTCTGATTACTATAACGTTGCCACTTACATTATTAAAAAAGGCCGGGGTGGAATCGGACGATCTCCTTGAGGGGATAATTTGTAGGCATTAAATAGAGAAATAAAGGATGGGGTTGTGAAGTAAAACTGTAGTTGTTCCCACCTGGAAGCAAGGAATCCATATTCGTCATCGGTTAGAAAGTCGGGTGGGTGAGGTGCTGGTCTCCGGGTGGACGTGGAGGTGGTGGCTGGGGGTCGCTGAGCCTCTATCTCGAGTGACTCGCTGATTCCCCTCCTGACGCCTTGGTCGCGGAAAATGGAGTATATATTGCTCCTCTGGTTCGCCTGACGGGTCATGGAATGCGCGTACGCCGAGATCGAGGTGCCTGGCCCCGGGGGCACCGCCTGCTTGCGCAGAGTCTCCGGTCGCGCCGGCAAGGGTGGCGGAGCCGATTGTGCTTTGGCTTGTGACGTCATCAAATCATACATTATCTCTTCGTATACATGGTAGTCTAGAGTTGGTAACCCTGTTGAAGACACCGACGAGGGTCGCTCCCCCCGCGAGGGGGCCGGGGCCGGCGGCGAGGTGTCCCCCGCTATGGAGGTGCTCCCGGACTTCTGGAGGTCCTCCACGATTTCCAGGATGCACCTGGCCACGTCCGAAAACTGCTCCGGCCCCGGTGGCAGGTTCGAGGAGGGGCTTGGGCAGCTACTTTCGCTACTCGATGAGCACTCGTGACTTCGGCAATTATCTAGAGGAAACAGAACGGATTTCGTAAGTACATCACGATAAAAGGAATTGGGTTGTGAGAGGTATCACCATTCAAAATTGATAACTAAACCTAAACAGACGGCCGGCCGGTGCAAAATGAAAATCCAGGGCGCCCCGTCGTCTGAGTGTCAGAGGCGGATCCAGAAATTTGGCAACACCGGATTCCCTGAATTTTAACCTATGTTAAATAATCGATTCTTGTCGGAGCACCTGGTTCCTCCAAGAATCGATATATTTCCAAAGGTTTGAATGGAGAAAAAGCAATGTTGCCAATTTGCTGAATCCGCCAAATCAGATTGTAAGAGATCGAGCGTGCATGTCGCTCTTGTGACGCAGTGCATAGGGATATTTTCTATGCGTACGGCCATATTTCGTCGTTGGTTCTTTCACAGAAAATTATTCGGGTTTACCCTCGTGAAGAATTAAATGGCTTAAGCCAATTTTGCAACCTTGGAATGGAGTTACGTTCCTCCGTGCGGGAAACGAAGATATACAAATGGACTACATTTTGCAATTTGGAACTATAAATTCTGGCCCGGTTTAAAAACAACGTATGTACAAATAGTTTCCCTATGCACATGAGTGTTTTTCCAGAAGAGCCAGAATTTATAGTTCCAAATTGCAAAATGCAGTCCAAATATGTCGCAGGCAGTTAACAATCGCTGGAAATTTGCAAGCGGCTCACATGTTGTTTCGAGAAATCGCAGCAATGCACCATGATGAAGATTTTCAGGGTGATAGTTTACAAGGACACGATCATGGGTTGGAGCGCCTTCAGTCATTTACGATACACTACGCATTGTCACAGAGTTAGTTTAGTTGCCTATCCGATCCAAACCCAAATACGGCCTCGAATTTGATCACACGCTCTTTAGAGTGTGCCTGATGTTGTTACGACCATGTTTTACGGAGAAAAAAAATGCTCATTCACGATAACGGCAAAATAATCAGTAGTCTACACTCGTTCTTTTATTTTTGAAGGGTATGCTTTTCGATTTATTCACTTGTGGCTTGCAAAGTGCCTGCGGTATATGTATAGTGAAATCTCGTTGAAGTAATCAATTTCAAGATATAACATTCCCTATTCATTTAGGAAGGTCGAAACAAACTTTCTTTTTAATCTTGACCGCAATAACAAAGAATTGGACGTCTATCGTGACCATACCCACGTATGTGAGATTTAGAATCGCGAATAAGGCTGCATTAGTACATATTACACTGATAGATGTTTAAAAATGTGCTGAAATATGTTTTGCCATCCAGTGTGCGTCCATGTAGGCATAGGAACGGGGCAAGGAGGAGGAAGGAGGGCGGAAGAGAGAGTATGTATAATGGAGACAGAGAGACGGTGGGTAAGGGGAGCGTAATTATGCAGCAGCTATTCTCATTCTCTCAGGGTGTTATTAGCTCCTTTACCCCAGGTTAGTTTAAAACAGTGATCCGTGTTCTTCACATCTTCAGCTCACCTCCTCGCATGTTTAACCGTAGAAAAATGATCCTCTCATGCTAAAACGACATCAGGAATTTACCTCTTATTATGGGATTGTATTCATACCGTTTTAAGTAACCTTTGTGACCTCTTTGTGAACTAAATCGACGGTGGGACTCTCAAACCACGTACCTTGCTTTGCGGCGTTGCAGACTTCTCGTCATACTTTAATTTTAATTGGAAAACCACGCAAAGTCAATTCTTAAAAAACTTCTGTGATTATTCTTCTCTTCGGGAAGCAAACTCTGAGCAAATTTTAAAGAATGATGTTGCTGTGTTCTCCTCCAAAAAAATAAAACAGGAGGGGCGATTTTTAAACACCGCAGAAGACGAGATACGTGGTTTGGTAGTCTCACCGTCGAAAGTAGATTACAAAATGGTTTAACATTTTTCTGAAAGTAGCTCAACGAAAGATGATTCAATTCTGTGAGTCCCATGGCAAGGTTGCAAAGGGTGTACTTTATATTTCTTCTCCTTCTTTTCAGACGTGGCATTGCTCTGACATAAGTAGGTTGTTTTAGAAACCCATTTTGATACGAGTACAATAGTACAATATCTTTTATCGCGCTCTTTGCATGACCATCTACTGGGAAAAGAAAAAACTTCAGTTGAGATATTGATCCTACATCTTAGAGGTGTTTTTTTTACGAATCTTCGCATAAAAGTGCTCAAAAATGTAAGTATATATATGTAAGTAAAATTTTTACTTTCTCTACCGACAGGAAAATGAACTGCATAACTTACGACTCCTTACAATATACCTGGTTACTGAGAAATTAGAGAGTGTTTTCCGCCAACGATTTATATAAATTTAACGTATTTAAGGAAGTAAGTAATACGTATGCTCAAATGAGGTAAATCAAAGAGATTGGTGGTGCACGCAAATTCTATAGACATAATTTATTTTCGTTTAATTAGGTAATTTGATTATAGTTCCTTTCAGGAAAAATACGCGCATTTTTTCATGCAATTCATGAACATTTATGGAGGTCTCCAATTCTCTGGATATATTATTCAAGGGATAAGATGGACTTTGTTTTGGAATTGACCATGAGACAAGGTTCGAATTAAAGCAGTTTGATACATGTTTCCTGATTAAAATTTCACGTAACACACAATTCGGACAAAAATCGCTGAAATTAACTCCTAATTTAGACGTTTAACGTTTTTCGAAGCGTAAATTCAAACCTCCCGCTCAAAGAAAAAAACCTCTACGTGAGTCAAATCGCGCTCTAAATGTTGCCGTAGGTTGCATTCTGCCGTGCTAAGGAAGAACGCCGTATGAGCCATCAGGAGTTGCCAAATTTCCTTCGAAAAACAACAAATTTTCAGGTAGAATTTGTGAATATTTCTCCTCCGAATGTTCAAAATCTGATCTAAAAAGTCTTACAATTTCAAGGAAAAATATTCTTAACTTTCTTTAAAAATTCACATTTTCTGAAAGGAAATTTGGCAACATTCGAATGCACATACGACGTTCTTCCTTAACACGGCAGTATTGGTGGCATGAAAATATCAAAATCTCAATCTTTGCGCCCTGGCTCAGTTTTTGCACGTTGTTTATACCTTAAACAACCCAAAGAGTAGAGGGAAGGCATACTGGTTGACTAATTAAGAAGCCCGTCACAACCGTTGTAGTGACTTGTATAATATTATTTTTCTTGTGAGCGAGCAATTCGTAACCCTATGCTAACTGAAAACGCCAACATCTAACTTGGACGTTTTTCTGTTAAATGGAACTAAGCGCCAAATTGAGTTCCTTTTGAGGATTTTAAAATCTCGGATAGCGCGTTCTGTCAAACGGAACTATAAGCGCCATGGAAAACCATTGTGAGTATAAGACGGAACGAGCATCGCGTTCCGCAACACAGCCAATCGAAG